GTCCAGCATGTAACTAACAGCAAAATCTTCAAACTTGCGTTGAAATACACTGCGCGAAAAAGAAAAATGTCGTAGTTCAACAGGAAGATGATTCCACAAACGTGACGAACGAATAATAAAAGATCTTTCATATAAACAAGTGGAATAGCGCGGGAAAATTAACTGAGTGTTCCTGGTAGATCTAGAGAAAACAAGTCGATCACGCAGGACACCGGGAAGATCTAAAGTGACAGATTTATATAGAAATGAAATAACTCTTTTTTTTACGAAAACTGAAAACGGTGCTCCTAGAAAATCAATCGCATAAGCTGAAATGTGGTCTGATCGTATCTTACAACGTACCTTACAACCATATTGAAGAATTTTTCTATTTTCTTAAAATGCTCATGTGTGGTGCCAGATACAACTTCTATACCATAAGAAATAAGCGATATTAACATGGAATAAGCAAGATTTCTCCTTACAAATAGTGGCATATAGAATTCAGTTGAGTATAATTTCCGAAGAATATTCATTGCTCTAGGGTGTAGAGCATCAATATGAGCAGAAAAATCAAGTTTGCTATCAACAATAACTCCTAAGCATTTTATGCGATCAACGAACTCAATAATTAATCCATTAGCACGTATATCTATACTATTGAGGCGACATAAAGAACCATATCCCATTGCTTTTGTCTTTGTAACATTTTTTACTAGGTTATTATTACATAACCAACGCGATACTGCGGACAGTTTAATTTAGTTTAATTTATTGAAAATGTGTCAATCAAGGTTTTAAGGGCCCCATACACTATAAATCATGCCGTCATGCCGATGAACCCCTTTTGGTATATGTGAGATTGACTAGTGTATGGCAAACTCCTCAATCACTATTCCAAAAAATCGATGTTTGTCCCAAAAATTGCATTTTGAGTCGTAAATTCAGTTGTTTTTTTATTCCGTCACAATTCTATTATTTTTGTACACAAAATTATTTACTGACGACTTTCAAAATGAATATTATTCACCAGACTGATAGGGTCTCATTTTCAAAATCAAAACTATTACAGCCTTACCTAAAATTCAACTAGCTCGTTCGACGTTTTTCACCACAAAAGTAGAATACATGTATTTATATGAATGTTACCGAAATACGTCGAACGTACAAAATTTCAAGTTGAAAATTTTCAACTTTGACAGAACGTATTTTTCATTTTTTCTTTTGTTGAAAATAAAAACAAAACATTCAAGAAATTTGAAATTTCGAATGGAAACTAAAAATATGTGGATTAATTTAATAGATTTTCAATTTTGTTCTGTGTTGTTTTGTTCGACCTTTTGATTCTTATATAATAAAACAATATATTTTTTTTCGAGCTTGAGGTCTTTTTTATTTTTTAGGATCAATATTTCGCAATTGTTTTAAATTGCATCTTCAGGATAATCTACAAACAATTTTGAAATTAATGACATTAATTATACAGAATGAAGTGACAAAATCGCTTACAAATAAACTAGTGTCAAGTTTACTTAAAACTATGATAGACTTCACTATCGTCGTCGGATGTAAATATTGCACTGAGTTTATTTTAGTTTATTGCACGATCTCTCTTTCTGTGTAAGGTGTCTGTAACAGTAAGCTGCGTTGTCTGTGTCGCTCTTAACATTAATTCTCTTTGTTGTTGATAGGTTGTTTATGTGTAGCATTTCCAATGTAAGTCTCCTATTGTAATTGTTTTCTGTTTGAAGTATTTGTACTTTATCAATGTTTGGTCTATGGTTGTTGTTCTTACAGTGTTCTGCAAGTGCTGTTTTTTGTGTATTATTCTGATTCCTTAATTTAATGTCTGATTTGTGTGCCGATAATCTGGTTTTTAATTTATTTTTTATGGTTCCAACATACACCTGTTTACATTTTTCTTCATCGTTTCCATCACATTCTATTTTATAGATAACATTGTGTTTTTCCAATTTTTGTATCTTGCTTTTCGTGTTGGAAAATAACGTTTTTAGCGTATTATTTGTTTTTTGGGCCACCTTATATTTTTCTTTATCAAATAAATTTGCATTCTGAAATCTTTCTGAAATTATTGGGATATAAATCATTGATTTGTAAGTTCTTTCCTCCTCAGTTCGTGGCTGTTTCCTTCGTAGTGTCTGATTATTTAGTATTCTGTTGATTACGTTGGCTGGAAAATTGTTATTTGATAGAATTTCTCTAATTTTAATTTTGTTGGTTTCGTTGAACTTTTCATCGCTTATTTTTAAAATTCTGTTTGCTAAGTTGTTTGCCGTGTTCATTATTATCTGCTTTGGGTGTTTTGAAAAGAAGTTTATGATCCTCCCCGATGCCGTGGGTTTTTGGTACCAGTCTAGTTCTAATTTACCCTTATTTTGATACACCAACGTGTCCAAATACGGTAAGCATCCGTTGTTCTCTTTCTCCATTGTGAACTTTATATTGTTGTTGTAGCTGCTTAAAATAGTCAAGGTATCTGTTATTGCATCTTCCCCCAGTATCACAAAAAGATCGTCAACATATTTGGTTACTAGTGTAGGTTTCGTCTTTAGTTGTTCCATACAGGTGTCAAGAAGTTTCTCCATCACTATATCAGCTACAATTGGAGAAGCTGGTGAACCCATTGGCAGTCCTTTTTTCTGTTTGTAAACCTTGTCATTATACGTGAAGTAGCGGTTGTCCTTAATGCAAAACGTAAGAATACTGAAAAATAAGCCCTTTGTCATATTAGTGTATTCTCGTATTTCGTCCCATTTTTCTTCTATTATTTTTATTCCTAGGTCTACTGGTATGCTCGGGAACAGTGATATCACATCAAACGATACCATTTTGTCATTCTCACCGACAGTTAAATTGGTTATCTTCTTTTTAAAGCCAATTGAGTCCCTTACGTTGTATTTTGAGTTAATTGTCAAGTTCTTGAGTATTCTAACCATGTATTTGCAAAGTTGTATGGAAGGTGAGTTTATGGAGGAACATATCGGCCGTAATGGATAATTTTCTTTGTGTATTTTGGGAAGTCCATATAGTCTTGGTGCGGTGGCCACGTCTGATTTAAGTTTTCGTCTCTCTACTGCACAAATTATGTTATTCTTGTATAACTCTTCCACTAGTTCATTGTTCTTTTTAATTAAACTTGTTGTTGGGTCCTTATTTATTTTGTGTTGCGGTTTGTATTATTTGCTTGAAGATATGGATTCGACGTATTTGGGTAATACGGCCGTACATAACATTTTGCCATAGTGGGGAAGTTGAATATTTTTGTACGCCCCGTCGGATTTTAGGTAACGTTGTTATGATTTTCTTCATGCATTGTGTGTGTCACACATACATAAATCAACTTTCAAAAAATAACACATACTATGATAAATGCTGTACGGCATGATGTATAGTGTATGGGGCCCTTTAATCAAGGTGAATTCGAAGACTTCATTCAATGTCAAATATAATGTTTGAAGAATAAATAAACAACACATATTTTTATTCGAACCAATATAATTGTGCACATTACTATCATTACGTTTTCCTGAAAAATATTTTGAGTTTTTATCCTGTTCTGGTTGGCATTTCGCGATTAAAATGTTGACAGCAAGAGAAGACTAAGGCATGAATTCGCCAGCCTGTTAACCTTATAATAAACCTTGACGTCAATCACAAACATAAAATTTTATGGAATTTATTTTTCATATTATTTAAAATATTCATATTATTTAATATATGAGTTCCAAATTAAAAAGGGTTGCCATCATAAAATTCTCAAATGAGACCACCTTCTGTAATTATGCCATGCTTGTATAATTATGCCAAGTTAAAATATTATCAATTGCTATCTATAATGTAATGATAGCAAAAAGTTTTGTAATTTAAGAATATTGCGTTAAAAGGAGTTTTTCTATAAATGAGGTCGATCAAAAAAAAAATAGCACCTCCAATGAAAACATAACATAAATTCATTTAAAGCCCCTATCATGGCATAATTATTGAAGGCAGTTTCATTTGAGAAATTTATAATGACAACCCTTGTGTAATTTGTAACTTATATATGTCCCAATTTAGATTAGGCGAGTTTACTTGCGGCAAGTCTTTGTGGGAGAGAGGGGCAAGGGGAATAGAAACGGAAAAAATTGCTCGTACCGACAATTTTCTGGCAATTCGTTTTGTGTATTTTGTTTGTAGTGTCATTTCAGAAAAAAAAAAAAAATAAATCAATTTAGAAAATATATGTTTGCAACCGAATTGCCTTGTATAGACGCATGAAGCACGTTCAAAAGAGAACTAGGATTGCCGCAAGTAAACTCGCCTAATCTAAATCATGACTATCAATTGCAAATAAAATGAAAAATAAATTTCATAAAATTGTATTATGTCGAATGGCATACTTTCAAAAAGTTAAACAAAATATATTCTCTGAAGCTGCACATTGTTCTTAATATTTAACCATGATTGTTACAACTTATATTTACAAGTTGTAGAAATAACACTGTTTTTGCAAATATATAATAATCCGGCATTTAAGGATTTTAGTTTTCTGCTCAAGTCTTCTTACTTTATAGAGATGTGTGACGTTTTCGATTTCAACAATGTGAATTTGACTGTATATGCAATATTGAGATTTATTGCACAAGTCTTATAATGGAAATTGACTGTATATTATTAACGTTTTTCTAATTTATTAATATATATATATTATATGACAATAGTTTTAATAACATATTTTCATTAAAGAAATATAACTATTAATTATGAATGTAAGCATGGTTATTTAATATTGAATACGATAAAAAAGAATATGGAAGTTTCTCCCAATTAAATGTTGGTGCGACCGAAACGAAGGAGAAACAAACACTTTACCAAATAGCTCTCTAGCGTTGTAACAACACAATCATATACATTGGAAACGGTATGAGTTGGATCACTTCAGTGCCAATGACAAAGACAACACTAATGACTCATATCCATATTGCTGCTTGGTAAGATGTATCCAATTTAGTTCGGCTGTTTTACCGCTGTTGATTGTATACTGGAATGTTTTGTTGAACATTTGTCTGATATGATTGCGGTGTAACTGTCATGTTAGCTATTTGGTGTTGCAGTTGGCCGAATTGATCGTCGAGGGCTGGTGGTAAATGTTGATTGCCTACGAATGTAGTTTGCGGTGGAGCATTTGTGAGTGGGGTTTGGTGGCTGTATACAGGTGGAGTGTCTGATAGAAGTTGAGAGGAAGAACTGTTTGCATATGACTGTGGTGTTTGTTGTTGCAAAGTGTTATGTTGGGGAGAAATAAAGTGAGACTGGAGTTGGTTTTGAGTGGACTGTGTGGGTGGGACCTGTGGGTTTGTTTGCATTGCATTAGTGATTGAAGGAGACTGTGTCTGCATCGCGAATTGCTGTGGTAACTGGTAACGTTGATGCTGGTGTGTGTCTGCCGGGGTAGAAATATTTGCAGCTGGCCCTTGAATTTGACCATTGGATGTCATATAGATTTGTTGCTGGGAATGATTCTGTGGTAACGATAACGTCTGTTGAGACATAATTTGCGAATTTGATTGTATATTTGGATCTTGGTGTTGGGATGATGGAGTGTTCGATTGATTGTTTTGGTACGACATCGGTATTCGCATTGATTGGTAACTAGCAGAAGATGGCGGAAAATTCATCGACGGCAGACTGTTCTGTAAACTGTGAGGTCCGCTGTTATATGCTCCGATGTTATATGCAGCATTAGAGCCAAATAAAACATTGTAGCCCTGTTGGGGCATATTATGATAGTTTGGCATCACTGGGACACTAGTCATAGTATTCACGCCGTAAGGAGATCCCATCACATTTCGATCGTCCCTCATTAATGAGTGATACAAATTTATAGCGTCCACCAGATCGCTAGAAAGTTGCGATAGTTGGGCATGCTTTCGGTCAACCCTCTCTAACTCTGCATCAATTAATGGACCCATCTGATGAACTTCCTGCTCCAAACGTAACATCTCTTCCGTATCTTGAGAAGGGTCCTCAGGATTCGCTTCATTTATCAAATGCAACAAACGATCAATTTTTTTCTCGTCAATTTCAATCTTCTGCGATGCAGCAGCAGCTGCCGCGGCCTCAGTCTTACATTGCAGTTCCTTAGTATCTTCTTCAAATTGTGAACTTTTTTTCATTTTGTGATGTTGATTTATTTCCAATTGTTCAGGATCCACTGACAGATCTGCAGTAACGAAATTCGAAGGGAATAAACCTTCTCCGCGTTGATTAAAGCCCTTCCACCAGTTGGGATCGGAATCATCGAGTACGTGTATGATGTCACCTGCAGCAAAAGTCAGTTCATTCTCCTCAGCTGCTTCAAAGTCATACAGTGCTCGAACTTTCCGGGGTTCCCCCGTATTAATTGAAAATGACGCAGCAGTATTCGATACCGATGGATATAAAGAAGGCTAAAGAAAAATAATAGTTAGGGAAGAACAAAGTCGAATCATGATACAAATGGCACTAAACTTATTATTTAATGAACTAAGTACACAAACATGCATGAATAAAGTACAAGTCGCCACCATATACTACACTATTATTTATTTATATTTTTTTTACAGGAGAAGCAGAAAACGTTATAATATCTAAAAAATTGAGTGTCTGGAATTGTTTTACAAAGTTTAAATGCACTATAGAACCGTATTTATTATTTGAAAACCCCTTTTATTTGTATTTTCTTTTTAAGGGTATATTCAAGGTGTATTTAATAAGGTGTAAGTGACAATCATATAGTTTTAAACTTTTTTCTTTATTGTTTGTAAAGTGTCAAAAACATTTTAAATATTACATTTCGATTTCAAAAATGGCCCTTAAATTTAGTCTTTTTTAATAATAAAAATTCAAGAAATCTACATTCATGAGGTGGACGGATAGGAAACCTAAGCTTTAATCAGTTATAACCCCGTTCGTCGAATGGTCCACATATTTTACGTTATGTGTGGAAATCTATCTATAAATTCCTGATACTCATAAAATGGAGGAGATTATGTTAGCCTACTGGAATCGGTCCATTGGTGCTTGTTACAATTCTCGGCGAAGGTTAAATACGCCTATGGAAAGATTTTATACGGTCAACACAATTTCCATGATTTAGTCTTTGGCCGGGGATTTATGTCTCTCAATTTTCTTTAAGAAGGCAACAAAATTGAAAGACACTACTCCATAGAAAAATAGATTGTAATTCACAATAGCTATGTTCCCAAACCTGCAATATAGTACAACATTGTACTAGTTTTGCAATTTTTGCTAGAAAAGCGTTCCCTTACGCCGAAAAGTAGGAAAATTTGAAGTTAAATTTAAGAGAGTTAAAAGCAATCCTATTTTCCTATCCTATTTTCTGCAAGACCAATTTGTCCTAGCACGAAATAGTAAATGTAGTAAATTATGAATTTGACATTTGATTGCCAGAGATATACAGTCCGAAATAAAGCACATGAAAGTTATGTCATGTTCTGACGGGCATCCGAACAACGTAGTTTGCTCTCAGAATTACGTACATGAATTAACCCGTTCATACAACACTATTCATAATTCATATCATCAGAGTTTTTTATTTCAAACTTTTTGTTTCTTGTTTTACACCAAAAATGTAACATATTTTAGTGAATTACATAGGGATCTAAATAGAAAAAAATAATTCTCTTTCTCCTGACTATAGTATGAACCCATATCTATTTACTTTTCATTCATGTTTTCCATTTTTTCTGAAAATGTTGTTGTTTTTAATACATTTTTATATTTTCTCAATTCAAATGTCACATACTGTCACAAATAAAAATTTGGAGAATTTTTTGTTTGAGTTGCCCCACATTTGTTTCTTGTTTTGTACGCTAATTAGAACCAAGGGAAAAGAAATGCATATTGCATTATGTAGAAAACAAAATTTACATCCTGCTGCATATATAAAAACTATACAATTTTTTACTTTTCATTCATGATTTTCAATTTTACTGAAAAAGTTTGAAAATTTCATAAATATTTTCAAACTGTCAAAATTAATTTATTTTCGATAAATACTCTCAATTGTTAGGGATGGGACAAATTTATTGGTTATTCAGAGAGTGATTTGAATTGAACAACGTACAAAAGTCGGTGTTCGCTCAGACAATTTTGTATGGGGAACTAAGTAATTCCTTCATAATTAAGGGTCGAACAACGAATGAGAGAGCGAACAACGCTCGTCTGTACATGGCATTAGCGCTTCAACAAAAAGGATACACGCCCAGACGCACACACATTTGCTTAAAAAAAACCAAATAAGAAATTAAAAAATGGACAAACAGATTTTTTATTCTCTTTTGGAGGATAGTGAAGATGAAAGGCTGGCAGAAGATTCAGATGAAGATACTATAGAAAGAAGACCTGAGTTGGGAACGTGCATCATCAAGTTTTTTTGGTTAATCGTACTAACCAATGTGTGTACATTGGCCCAAAATATCTTGGGCTTAAGTCAAGTTTAGGGGATCCACTTGGATCGCTTTGACATTTTTACAGTAAGTAGTCCTCCGTGAACTGATTCAACAAAAAGGATACACGCCCAGACGCACACACATTTGCTTAAAAAAAAAACCAAATAAGAAATTAAAAAATGGACAAACAGATTTTTTATTCTCTTTTGGAGGATAGTGAAGATGAATGGCTGGCAGAAGATTCAGATGAAGATACTATAGAAAGAAGACCTGAGTTGGGAACGTGCATCATCAAGTTTTTTTGGTTAATCGTACTAACCAATGTGTGTACATTGGCCCAAAATATCTTGGGCTTAAGTCAAGTTTAGGGGATCCACTTGGATCGCTTTGACATTTTTACAGTAAGTAGTCCTCCGTGAACTGATTACAGTGATATATATTTTATGGGAAGAAATGCATACTTCCCGAGATATGGGCCTTGAAAGTTCGGAGAGTATATTGTTTTAATCAGCCGTTTGACTATTTCCAGCAAGGTAATATGAGTATCATTTTAAAGATTATTGTTTGTGCTTTAAAACTAGATGAAGAATATATCTTCATAATGTATATACAATTAAAAAAAAAGAATTTGAATTGCGTAGCCAAGTATGCGCTTGTCCATATAAGTACCGCATATAACCTTTATAATGATACCCATATTGCCTTGGTGGCAATTGAAAAAGTGTTGTTTTAAACAAAATATGTTCCGAAATTTCAAGCCCAATGTCTCGGGAAGTATGTATTTCCCCACATGAAATGTATATCACTGTAGTCAGCACAAGGAGGGCTACTTACGGTAATGAGTGGAGCCCCTAAACATTAACATTATGTGAGCGTCCATGTAAGCCTTTCCGGACTTGAAGTCGTCGGAAACTCCACTTCCAAATATTCGATAATGTTTTCATCTAAATTATACAGATAAAAAATAAACAATAAATATTAATATTATCAAAATCACACAATGGACGCCGTTTAACTTTTTGTTTCTTTGTGTGCATTAGGTTTCTGTAGTCTTTTTTTTGTCCTTAATTGATGAAATTTTTGATTTTGATGTTTCTTCATGTTTTAACTATTTTTCGTTCATTTACTTTTTGCGCAAATCTTGTATGTGAGAGTAATTTTTGATAGTTCGCTCTTTTACTAGATTTACTATCAAAAAGTACGTGAACGAACCTAATATAAACAACATCACAAAATAATATAAACAAAACTTAAAATTAATCGCGACCAGGTTTTAAACTTTATTTTTCACTGACCAAAAACGCCAATAACCCAAGAATACACAAATTCATTAATTATTCCTCAAAGAATATTTCTTGACAAAAATAAATTAATAATTGTTTTTGTTTATTTTTGTCAAAAACTGATTGTCAGCATGACAATTTAATTTCTATAACAACAATGTTGTTTTTGTAAAATATTTGTTGTTGTATCTGATGCATACACCTTATTAAATACACCTTGGGTATATTATAATTTTCGTCTTTTGCGCAACGTACTACATTATGGAGTCTATAATAATGAGAATTAAGTTTTGTTAAAATCTATTTCGTATCAAACTGAGCCTAGAATGATGCTTTGTTCACAAAGAATCAGATTTTAATATTTTTTTCTATATATGTTGTGCACCAAATAAGCAACATTTGTCCAGTTGAGATGAAATTTTGAACAATACGCTGCACTATGTCGCGAGTTCATATAAAGAGCGGCCAAAAATAGAAGGAGTTATCGTAAGTTAATGAAATTTGGTACATGAGCTAAAGAGCAACTGAGCTAAAGAGCAAGATTTCGTATACCTCCCATATAATGGGTCTTGAGAATGTCACCCTTTTTGGCCTATAAAATCTTTAATATTCAAACAAATTCATGAAAATTGGCAATTTACATTTAATTAGGCCTCTAAAGCAACTGACCAAAAACTGGTAGATCGGACCAAGATTTGATATACCTCCCATACAAAGGGTCTTGAAAATTTTACTATTTTGGGCTATATAATCATTAATATTCAACCAAATTCAATGAAAATTGGCAATTTACATTTACTTATGCCTATAAAGCAACGGACCAACAACTGGGTAGATTGGACCAAGATTTGATATACCTCCCATACAAAGGGTCTTGAAAAATCCGCTTTTTGGACCTATAAATTGTTTATATTCATCCAAATTCCATGAAAATTTTCATGTCTTCGTCCAAATTACATCAAATTTGGGCGAAGGTAGTAATAGGCGTTGTAATTTAGTTGTTGGCGCATATTTCAGGTTCCTACCATACCAAAAGTCCCTAAAAATGTAACTTTCTGTACTATAAAATTATTATATGCAGCTAAATTAAGTAGTGGTAGTAGTAGTTTTTTTTTTTGTTATTTTTATTATAATATAATAAATATTTGATATCCTTTAGTAACTAATAAATTAATTTTTTATCATTCAAAAAAAATTTACAACACTCAACTTAAAGTTACATTTTTTTTCTAAAAAAGGCAAAATAAGGCAAAATATTTCATCTGAATATGATAGTACATACCCCTGCCAGCTTCCAAAAATTTTTTGGAGGAGACGATATTTTTTTTTTTCTAAAGTTTAAGAAGATTTTATTTGTAAAAAATAATTTTCAATATACACACAAACTTTTAACCCAGATATTACAACTTTCTTCGATATATTATGAAAGCATCATATATATATATATATATATATATATAATGTTGTCTTCCCAAATGTACGATTTAGTATCATTCACGTTATAATATCGGGCCTTTACCTTATGGCTGTTTAAGGATATTACAAGGTCGGATTGTAATATATTTAACTCGGCTTTAACAAAAGTTCGGGCTGCTACTAATTATTTGCTGGCATGACTTGTTAGCATCTTGTCGCTCAAAAGGTATTGTACTGCACTTCGCATATCCCATGCCATGAACTAATATTTTTCTGTATGAACTTTCCACAAAGGTAATTCATGTGCGACCTCTAAATTTATTTATTCCCTAAATAACACACTTTTCACCACTCAAATAAAAAAAATTAGAGCTAAACTTTTTTTCTGCTCCACTAATTTCAAAATTTGTTTTAAAAATTTTATGAACTAAGTACTACAAGTGTGGACGACTGTATACACCATATGATATCTATATACGTACAAATTAAAGCGAATCGTAGTTTTTACATCCTCAGCAATAAACACTTTTATAATAACCATTAATTTGAATATTCAAATATTTGAGCATCAGAAAAACACACCCATTTTTCGAAAATGTGGCAAAAAATCAGTTTATAAATAATTATCAGATTTGGACCTTTGTAGAGACAAAACTACTCGACATATCGATATAAAATGTCATATTTATTCTAATTGGAATGTTTTCTATCAATCCTCATCAAAAAATTTGTCCTCCGTGGTACTTGGTTTTGACCATTTTTGGCCGCGGTCGTGACACTGTGCGCTGTAATCTAAGATACCGAAAGGCATATGGCATGTTTTCTTCAAATCTTCAATAAAGTCGCTGTTTTTGACGTTTGATATATAAATATTAGTTCGAACATGTAGTTTTGTAAATCGAACAAATAGTCAATTTCGAATTTTTCTACAGTTACGACTGTTTGCATTTATGGTGACGAAATGTACATGGTAAATATTGCCTAGCCATAAAAAGGTTCAACTAACAAATTACAGAAGTAAAAGTACTTACGTAGCTGGATGAATTACCGCCTGAGGAGGTCGCAATATTTTTTGGACTGCTTTTAACTTCTTTTAAGGATAGTTCTATAGCTTTAGCCAAGTCGTCTTCCTCTTGCTGACTGGTTGAGGCAATTTCTTTGCCAGGCGCTAGTTTGGGGGTCGATTTCATGGGTTTTTCGTTTGAACTGCTAAAATCGTAATTCTCTTGTCGCAATTTATTGTATAATGATGGTATCAGATTTAACTCAGGATCGCTCTTAAAATCTCCCTCGGCCCATCCTTTTAATACTTGGCACATTCTCTAGACATAAAAAATCTACAATTTTGTTTGATTGCTATAAACAAATTAATTCAAACTTACTGCAGCTACTTTCGGCTGCGCCTTCCCCAATAACCTCTGGAATTCGTTTTGAAACTCTCGAGAAGCTATCTCCAAATGAAATGGCTTTCCGCAATTGCTTACGCATGCATCTAATAGTGTGATGGCTTGCATTACGACATGTGGGTCATTGTGACCCATTCTCTTCATGATGGCCTTTAAACATTCCTTGGCATTGCGGCTGTTCGAAGATGTCTTGTCACAAACATCCAGAATAAGAGACCAGTTTTCATTGGTATTTGATTCACTGGTGGCTTTTTCTGAAATTAAATGTTATAGAAAGTGTATATAGTATGGCACTGTGGTCCCGCCATGCAAAATTGTGTCCGACTTTAAAAATGCCGTATTGTAATAGACTCATTTTTATTTTATTCGTAAACCTGCATTCGATATGAATACAGAAAATGGAAACCCGACCTAAATCCCGGTAAAATTCGTTTGTTTCCAGATCAATATTTCGTTTGTATAACATTACTGAATTTTGAAGTCAGGCTATATTTAATAACGACGACAATGCGTCGATGCACGATGGCTCCACAAAAGCGACAAATCGGTCGGCATATTTAAAAAAAAATGACATTGTTCATGAATCCAAAGAAAACAAGATGCACAACAATAAATCCAATTAGCTGCATTATAATTTATCGGTGTGTCCTTTCACTTACCAACATCGGCATCGAATCCGGAAGATTGTCCAAATATTCCCATTTTATTTTCTTCGACTTTTAAGAGCAAAGTTCTCCAATATATTGGCGACAGAACAAATTCCCGATTGTGGAATTATATTATTTTTTAGCAATGATGGCAAAATGTAGAAGTTCTTGTTACAAATTTCTAAACGATTATCGTATAAACTGATACGTAGTTTTCCGTCGTCCAAATTAAAAATTTTCCTCTTTTTTGCAAATTGCAATTATGACTAATGACTAACAAAGAAATATATCTGAATAAAGAAAAATTGAAAAACGTTCCACCAGCTAACGAATGGGAGGAGAAGACAAAATGGTCGATAAAGATGAACTCAAAGTGATATAACGAAAATTACGAATGAGGTGGGATGGAGACTAAATGAGAACCGACCGAATTGTTCACAACACATCCACTCACACGAATGGGGTGGGATGGAGACTAAATGAGAACCGACCGAATTGTTTACAACACATCCACTCACACGAACACACATACATGAATTTTCTGAATTTTCCCAGTCATTGAACATAGGGATGAGTAAATCGACTTTGGAATAATCGATTAATCGACTTTTTGTATTGAAAAGTCGAAGTCGACTTTTGATTTTGAGGAAATCACAAAGTCGACTTTCGATTTTTTTCATATATACTTGGTTAATTGTTCTAATCCCAAATTACTCAAAAATTACACATCCCAGAACTTTATAATATCTGTTGATAACAATTCACATAAAAAATCACATTTTACGTCATTTTTGGTTTAGTCGGTTAAAGTCGAAAATCAATTTTGAACAGATTTGACAAAATCGAAAGATGGAAAAGTCGACATTTTAATTTAATTTATTTCAAAAAAAACGAAAAGTAAAAATCGAGTTTTTGGTCAGAGTCAAAACTCGAAAAGCCTAAAAGTCTACTTTTGCGCTCAACTACGTATCCCGAAGCTAAATAGCATATGAACAAAATTTAACGTTGCTCAAGGGCAAGCAGAAAGTGGAGACATCCGTTGCGTTGTGTTATCGAAAATAAAACAACTACAAGGAAACGATAACAAAAACGCTCGTAGTTGATGTGCGTTGCTCTTCGGAGTTAAATAAATGTTAACATAGTGTGTTAAATAAATGTTAACATTTGCGTGCGTTAACGCGATAACGAAAAAAAAAAACTCTCAAAGCGGACAGCAGAATGCTCGCGTTGACCCATCCGTCACGTTATATGTTATCGAAAATACAACAACCACAAGGAAACGATAACACAAAGAAGGAAACGATAACACAAACGTAGGCCTTTCGGCCAAAATATAAAGGGCTAAACAGAATGTTCGCGTTGAGCGTTTTTTGTTATCGCGTTAACGCACACAAAAAGTTCAAATATATTTAACTCCGAAGTGCAGCGCACAACAAATTCGAGCGTTTGTGTTATCGTCTCCTTGTGGTTGTTGTATTTTCGATAACACATAACGCAACGGATGGCTCAACGCTAGCATTCTGCTTAGCCCTTAATACAATATGCTCCGATGACAAATTATATACAAATAAATTAAAATTAATTGAACTAAATTATTCGTATGGAAAAATATAGCTAAACATATAACAGCCTTACCTAAAATTCAACTAGTTCGTTCGACGTTTTTCACCACAAAAGTAGAACACATGCATGGTATAATTATTACAAGGTAGGGTACAGCTACCAACTGATTACAATTTTTTCTCAAGGTGGCTTGTTCCATCAAATCAAAATACATATTTTGATTATGTATGTGTATTGTTTTGAATACTATGTCAAATAAATTCAAAATAAAATGGAATATATTCAAGATTATTAGAAAAGAAAATTATGTTTTTAACACGTTCGTCTGGAAGTAATTACTTTGTTATGGATGAAACAAACATTTTATGGTAGAGGTATATTTTCTCCTTTCTGAGAAAAGCTACCCTACCTCATGGTACAATAATACAAGGTAGGGCAGCTTGAGGTGAATAACAAAAAAACAACTATGCAAATAAATATACGCAACAAGTGTTTGTGTATATTTGACATTTTTTCAACACAAAACTAAAAACGTGAAAAGTGAATGAAAGGTTTTGATTTCTTTCCAAAATTCAGTAGGGAGTACCATAAAATGTTTGTTTCATCCATAACAAAGTAATTACTTCCAGACGAACGTGTTAAAAACATGATTTTCTTTTATATTAATCTTGAATATATTCCAATTTATTTTGAATTTATTTGACATAGTATTCAAAACAATACACATACATACACAAAATATGTATTTTGATTTGATGGAACAAGCCACCTTGAAAAAAATTGTAATCAGTTGAATTGCTGGCGCGTCAGGCATGCCTGAAATCCTTGTATGCATTTCCAAATTAAGGGCTAAGCAGAATGCTCGCGTTGAGCCATACGTTGCGTTATGTGTTATCGAAAATACAACAACCACAAGGAAACGATAACACAAACGCTCGAAGTTGTTGTGCGCTGCGCTTCGGAGTTAAATATATTTGAACTTTTTGCGTGCGTTAACGCGATAACAAAAAACGCCCAACGCGAACATTCTGTTTAGCCCTTTATATTGTTCGCCGTCATAAAAATAACGTGCCTATGTTTTCAGATGTCGACAACAACAGGGATGATGCATTTAGTATGTTACTGCTCAGGCTCAGGAAAATATCGTAGAGAGGCTGCTTTGTGCTCAGACGAAAACAAGAAACAAAAAAAAACTATTTATGTTGTAAATGTTCATTTTCTATCTAAATAAGCAATTTATGGTGAATATAAGTACGCCGTGAACTTTACTATATTCGGCTCTATATTCCTCTGTACATCAGCACACTTACAGTGCGAGAGACAACAGCGATGCGGTTTGTAAAGGATCCTTGTGGAATTGCTTGTTTAATCATAACATATTTAATGGTGGTTTATGCGGACTATGTAGTGATGCGGTGGATAATTCTCCAGACGATGCAGACGAGGTATGTTGGAATTGCATTGGACAGTTTTCATGTGAAATGTACAACTTCTTATTTCCGACAGTATATGGGGTCCGATACACGTCATTTTCTTCAATACAGTAGTTTTTTTGCTTGCGCTGTCCCACTTAAAGGCGGTTTTGTCAGACCCGGGGACAGTGCCCTTACCGGTCAATCGTTTGGATTTCTCTGACTTACATACTGTGGGAAAGAACAACGGCAACAGTCATAATGACTGGACAGTTTGTACGAGATGCGAGACTTACAGGTAATGGAATACATGACACATAAAAAATGGTTCTCAGACCTATCTTAAATTCATGTAGGCCGCCGCGAGCACACCATTGCCGCATTTGCAAGCGATGCATTCGACGAATGGATCATCATTGCCCATGGATAAACAATTGTGTTGGCGAACGTAACCAAAAGTTCTTTCTTCAGTTTCTTGTATATGTGGGAATGTTGGCATTGTACTCCATCGCATTGGTGGTTGGCTCATGGATTTACCCTTGTGCAGATTGCGAATCAGATACTCTAGAAGCACAAACAAGACTGTAAGTAACGTACATTATTATTCCAAGAACTGCAGGGACAAACATTAATCTAATGCCTATGCATTAATTAGAATGTAGATATGTCCGAGTCAAACAAGCTCGCAATATTTTAAATGTAGCTCGAATATTTACACAGGAGTACGCCCCATATGAAAATACCATCGGATTTTCGGTAGTTTGAGAGATTGTCCAATTGTCCAGCCCATGTTTCTTACAGAAAATTAGCAAGATTGTCTAATTTTCCAACCCATGATAATGCAAATTTTTATTTTATATTTGCTCTTATTACGGTAGGCGTTGTCGTGCTTGGTCGGAATTATGAAAAAATTCCGACTACGCCAAATTTTGTAATAGATTTTTTCTTTACTCTGTTAAAAAATTGAAGCAAAACTTGTATTTTTAGAACTCTGTTCTATATTGTATTGGAAAAGTTTGTTCTCAAATCAAATCCCGGCAAGTTGAATTCTTATGGATATTGAGAAATTCAATAAAACAAATTCGAATGTAACAATTAATCCGTACATGTTTTTGAAATACTGTAGTGGCTTTAAGAATACCGATTTGTAATATAAATACGGCAGTGCACAATTTTGGACACGACTACGCCAACCGTAATAATGGTGATTAAGAATTTTTAACGCTGCGGACAATAACCTAAAAAGTACACGTAGTTCAATAACCATGGTACCATGCTGTTTTTATTTTATAAATCTGTGGTAGATGTGAGTACTAAAAACTATGTATAAACGGTACAAAATTTTGTACAATTTTAATTTGGACGTGGGGGTGGAGCCGGATTTCTGAAATTCAAAATTAACATAACCGTCGAAGTGTAGGATCCCGATACGTACGTAGTTTTGATTTTAGTTAGTAATGTGTATCGTACTATAATTGGTACAATTTGGTGTGAAGCGATTGAGCTGGGATTCTGAAATTTCACCTTCTCACCTTTATAGGGTTTGTTAGACGTCCGTATTACCAAAATACACAAGAACTTTATTTACATCTGTGCCAATTTAAAACGGCGAAAATGGATTTTTTAATTGATCGAAAATGTTTACTTTTATAGAAACACAAATTTGTCAATGACTGAAATTCTGTTAAAAAAAAAAAAAAAAATACACATTGTTAATGTTGAAAATGTTCAACTTTATATTTTGATACGCAATGCGTATTTGGGTAACATTCATTGAAATACATGTATTTAACTTCTCAGGTGAATAAATTCGTACGCATACGCATAAATTTAGATTTAGAGATGTAGATTATCTTCCAATCCATGTACAAACAAAAATTCTGACTGCAACTAAGATTCTACTAGATCGAGCAGAAATAGCTTAATATATATAAATAATTAAAAAAAGTTATTCTATCATGTTATCGTGGTTATTAAAACAGCTAAAAACTGGCAATATTGTCCATATTTATACAGGCATAGAATGCAAAAGAAATGGAAAATTTCAGTTTCAAAACATAAAAAAATATAACAAAAACCCAAAATATTAAATTTTTAAACGGCATATACATTGGAACTTTTTACCGGGTTAACTTACTTTTTGAGGATTTATTTGACATAAATGCAAAGGAATTGACCACTGGGTTAACGAAATCCGGTTAAATGTAAACGTACTATTAACATTGTCAATTAACTTTTTTCACTTTCGTAAAATTACGTTTATATTAAAATAATATTACATTTTCATAGTTTTAATATTTTGTGTGGCCGCCCTTTTCATCTGCCACACATTGTAGACTTTTATCGAGTGGACCAACTTTTGCCAGCCAAAGTATAAAAATTATATAATCATAGTAATTTCGTTATAGCATTCGAATGGGTTAGGCGTGTTCAATTATTTTTATTGGAATCTAATTTAGGTGTTTCCCAATCCCTCTGTAATTATTTGTAGCTCTACATCGTTTTATGAACCTTAGGGGTAAGGTAAATAATTATTATTATTATTAATTTTATTCATTTCAAAGCCAAGCCAAAAAGCCTTATATGGCCAGTATACTACAAAATAAACTTAGACCAAATTAAAAATATAAATTTTAAACACTAGTATTTCTTTTCATGTTACATTTGTTCAAGCTCCATAATTATTCATTAAAAGTAATAGATAAAAATCATTTGAATAAGAACTACTCTGAATTGACTTACAAAAACATTAATGTAAAATATTAAGTAATTACAGAAATTTATCTTCAGTATTCAACTACTCAAAATTAGATTTAATTAACAAATCCAATTATGGATTAATTAACTTTTTCAATTATATTGTATAAAATTATTGGTATAATTTGAATCTTGGCTTAAACACCATATAATATTTCGGTTATCGGCGAATTATATGATATTTTCCTTTGTACTTTACGTGTGTATTTGTGTGTGTATATAATATTTACGAATTAAACGTACTTTTTCAGATTGCACAGTGTCATTTTGTTGCTGGAGTCAGCTCTATTTGGTCTATTCGTTTTGGCTATAATGGTGGACCAAATGCACGCCATTTTGCATGACGAGACAGCAGTGGAACAGGCCCAACAGAAGGGGTCGTACAGACCTAACAGGCGTAAAATTTACCTTCTCGCGGATGTTTTTGGTAGAGGACATCCCATGTGCTGGCTTTGTCCATGTACGAGTTTTTCATCATCGTCCTCGTTACGCTATTATGATACACCCCTTCTAAGTCATGACGTATAAGTTTGGGTGGTCTCAGCATTTATTCATAGTTTATGAATTTCTCTTATGTGGGAGACACAAGTGATATATGTAATGTAGGAGATATTCCATAGAATTGCCACTCCGTCTGAGAACCCATTTTCCGTATCTATGGGAGGTATATACTTTTTAAGAAGAAGCGGTTCCTATTGGAATGCGAATATATTTCATTATAGATTAGTTTTAAATTGTAAAATAATTGTGTGTGCTTGCAGTCCCTATTCAATAAGTTTTATTTATTTACATTTAGTCACATATTGTTACCCGTCACATTTACTCACATTGAAAGTTTGGAATTAAACGAGACGACGCCAGCAAAAAAATAATATTACTCTTTCAGTTCAGTTTTAATTTCTTTAACATTTATATAACAAATAATCCGAATTTGTGTTATATCTTTCGTCATCCTTAGTGTGAGTGAGTATGAATTAAATATCCGAAAGCAATCAAAATCGGGATCAATATCAAATGTCCTCATTTTGCGTCTTGATGAAAGTGAAATATTATGTATGTATGTGTTTGTATTGTAATGAAACCAAAGCAATGTCTTAATAAATAAATTTGTAATGGATATTACAAATGTCTATAAAAACTACAACAACAAATTGAATAACTCACTAATGACCATTGAACTTGCACAGGTACAGAAAAACGCTCATATTTTAAATGCCATAAATCCACTAAGAAATGACTTATTAATTTCGCCGGCTGACAACAAATCAGTTTCTGTAAAAAACTTTATAAATGAAATTTCCGGGCATGTTCTGGTATTCACCTCAACGGTAGAAGTGTATCGAACACCATTTCTGTAACACACTTTTCACATTTTTGAAGGGAATTATTTACACATACAAATTTGATAGTGAGAGTCGGGTGCATTCATGATTTGCTATATAAAAGAATATTATTAATAAAATAAAAAATTCACGTAGTGATGGATTCATATGTTATTATTGCGTACAATTTGTTTAAAACCACAAAATTAAGATAAAAGGTTTGTGTTGCATTTTTTCAAATGAATTTCTCGCTTGACACAAATAGCTGATTTGAAATAAGCTCGAACAAGATAAGGTTATCAAAGGTTCCTCTTAAATCAATCAACAAATAAAAATTTCAATTCACGTGAGAAGCAGATCAGGAGGTAACTTCTGAGGAGACACACATACCGTGTGTTCCAGAACATACCCGATTATCTAATCGTAGGTAAAAACTCATTAAAATATGATACAGGGATACGAGGTTGTAAAAAATCATCATGTACATATTGTTTCAAAAACACCTTGTGAAAAATTTACTCAGTCCATTTTTTTCAGTAAGTCTGGGTTTACACATGCAACTTTTTTAAGCAAAGTTGCAGAGTTCTTAGAAGAGAGAGGTATAAATAGTGACAAGGGGGAAGAAATTCAAAAGAAAATCGAAGAGCGCAGCAGCAGAGTTGCTTAGAAATGATGCGAGTAAGAGGGATATTCTTATTCTTCAACTTCAACATATTGTTTCAAAAACACCTTGTGAAAAATTTACTCAGTCCATTTTTTTCAGTAAGTCTGGTTTTACACATGCAACTTTTGTAAGCAAAGTTGCAGAGTTCTTAGAAGAGAGAGGTATAAATAGTGACAAGGGGGAAGAAATTCAAAAGAAAATCGAAGAGAGCAGCAGCAGAGTTGCTTAGAAATGATGCGAGTATGAGGGATATTCTTATTCTTCAACTTTTGTTTTGTTTTCTTTATTTTTATCTCAGAAAATAAAGAGTTCATCGTTTAATCTTGAGATTTCTTTGTTAAGTACAAAGTACCTAATAAAATACAAAAGCAATTTTTGAATTTTTGTTTCTACTTTTATTTTCATGGCGTACCAAGTGGTCAAAGAGCAAACATCAATTCGTATAGTCGTTGACGTATCATAAAAATATATATGGCGACGCATGCTACCAAATATTTAGCGAATAAACAAAACGAATCAGGCGATTAAAGAATAATTAAACCTTCCTATAAATCGCAACCAATACAATATAAAATGAACGATAGGCATTACTAATGCATGAGCCAGTTGCTTCCAAATTTCCAAAGATAGAGTTCAATATTGTACAACTTCCTTATGAAAAAAATCTATTTTTTAAATGACGACATAAAATATATCTTGAGATATATATAATCTATTTTCTACAAAATTTCACATATGACAATCTGTACTTAATTCAGTACGCTGTGCCCATTTTTGTTTTTTTATCGGACAAATCTATTAACTCATTATACATACGTATATGGGGGGTTTGAGTTGTGAGAAAAAACTATAATTCGGTCCGCCAAATAATTTTGGCTCGATTATTGGAACTGAATAGTTTTAGTTCTAAACAAATTTACATGAGCAAAGTTGACGTAGTTGTTGTAGTAGCCCTATTGCTTTTACACAATGGACTGAGGTGACAGACAGTCGTGGAAACGCACTAGACATGGTAGATTGCTTCCTTACTTTTTTGTGTCTTGTGCTCAAGTCGACTTTTATATTTGATTTCTCGGAATTCACAAGATATTTTTTGTTCAGAAGAATTTATTTATTCATTATTTTGAAAATAATCATATATATTTGTTAGTGAATAATGTAAAGTAAAATTATAGTGGTGTTTTACATCCTTGTGGGTGTTAACGTTTGTTTGGTTAAAGATCGTGAATGTTGAGAGATGTGTAAGAGGCATTACTAGCAAAGAACTGCGGCAAAGTATAAGTTATAACGCAAGAGGGTGATTTGAATTTGGAAATACAAAGTAACACGCAGTACAGGGCTATGCACACGAACATAATTCAAATAGGTTGCGAATAGTTTGTTTGTGTATTGTTCTGGACTATAATGTGGCATTGTCTGCGTCCCGCGACAAAAAATCTTGTCGTTTCTGATTCCAATTGACGGAATGGGAATCCTTGATCAAATGCCAGTTGGGAGATGGAACTTCAGATGACAGCCAATTAAAATCAGCTATATCTGCATAATTGTTAACATCTTTCTTTATGTTTGCCTGATTAAAATCATCGTCAATGCCGGAATAGTCATAGTTGTAGGGGCCCACTTCTATTCTATTGCAGTCCTCAATGATGGCTCGACAGGTGACGTGTAAATATATTTGACATTGTACTGACGAGTGTAGGCGCATTTGCTGGCACGCGACAGTTAGTGTGCTGTTTGTACAAAAATCAGCAAACAAAGACCGAGCAATTGGGCCGCAAAGAAAAGTACTGTTGGTGCAGTGAGATATTTGGACTGAACCGGCCGACCCTTGCAGTTCTACGAAACAATTTTTCAAATTTGCAATAGTTATATCTTTACTGTGAACGTCTTCGCCTTTGAGGCAAATATACTCATTAGCCTTATTGCTCAATGTCCAGCTAACTTTGCTACCAGTAATAGTATTTAGGTGTTCGTTGTTTGCAATACCATCTACATTGTCCGATTTGGCTAGTTTGGGATTCAGAGATGGTTTGGGTGTCACTTTGCGTCCACTAAATCCAAATTTCTTTTTTGGCAAAAGTTTAATTCTTGCTTCTTCGCATGTCTGCGATAGGTCATTAACAATACTTTGACACGCCTTGATCTTAAAATCCGTTAGAAACATTGTTGAATTGGTGAGGTATCGTTGCAACTCCTGTATTTCCATTGTTATTTCTGTGAAATGTCGAGCTAAATCAATGCTTGAGTTTTCGCCTTGATTCTTCTTTGCCGACGTTTCGCTTAGATTTTTTATGCGTGCCTCGATTTCCTTCACTTTATCGGCAAAGGCCTGTGAGAAGTAATCTGCGCCTTCTGCATCTGAACACTCCTTATGACGTTGTTCTAATTTTACATCCAAGTAATTTTGCCGCTCCTTATTTCGTTTGTTCAGGCGTTCTAATATTTGATCTTTCTTCGAGGTTGTGGCACCATCTAAAATTTCCTTTTCCATGTTGGGTAACGAGAATCGTGCACTATTCATTAGTTCAGAGGTGTTCCGACTTAAATGAGCAATAATTATTATTTAATTATCGTCCCTATTTTTTAAATATACTTGAGCGTTTTCGGTAGCTGCAGATTGCAATTTTCTTAAAAACAGTATCTTCTTCTGTTCGTCTTCACTTAAGTGGACACCAGCCGTTGTGGAACGTATTTTAGCTAGTTTTTCCTCTGATGGTTCAGTTAGTCGCAAAAGCCCATAACCAATGCCGCCAAAAGCCACTAACCATATTAATGATTTCACATAAGGGTTAGAAGCCATTTACACTCTACACTTTTCAGATCTAGTTATTTAATATTTATTGGTGTTGTTGGATGTTATAGCTATTTTTAGTTATCCTTTCTTTGTTCAGATCTCCAGACTGTAGCGTCGATTTCGCGCAAGTTGCTGTTTCCAATTATTTCACCAACCTTGTAATAATAGTCTAATACGAAAGGATATTTTTCATTTATGTGTTGTCGGAAGTCTGGAAAGAAAGTAATGGATGCAATCTCTTTTTATTCTATTATAAAAAATTATTTGAATGTTCTTTTAGAGAAAGACTCAATTTTTTAAAAAACATTATAACCTGACAAGTACATTTTAAAATAGAGTAGGCGGATATTTATCATATGTCTTACCACCGTAGTAGTATATTTGGAAAGACTGAAATATTTTTTACAAATAAGTCGGCATTTCGCATCACTGGAGGTGAGTCATTCCTTAAGTCACAACGTCACATAATAGTTTCTTTGTTAAAACAGAAATTTACATCTGATGGGAAATTGGCGACAAAAACTAAAATCCAAATAGAATGGTGCACCACGGAGTTTTCTGGCAATGAATGCCCAACTTTCGAGATAGTCAAGTATCAGTTATATAAATATACACACCTCGATTTGTATTCATACGATAATACACGGCATAAGATGCAGCGAAACAAACTGCTTCAATAACAAAAAGTGTCTTGGCGCTGCCTTTGACAAATTTCCAGAACCCACTTTTCGGCGTTTTAGGCAACATTACACATAACTTGAGAAAATAAGTTTAAACATTTGGCTTGGTTATTGGACCATTTGCTTGTGCCACCTCCAAAAAAGGGATATCCAGATTGACTTTCGGTTAGGGATAGGTAAATCGACTTTCGACTTTTTGTATTGAAAGGTCCATGGCCTATAAATAAGGTCACCAAGGGAGACCAGCTGATTATCGATACCTCTCAAGTTTGCTGTCAAAATGCATTATTGTGAATTGACTTCCATTATGAAAACGTAAACAAAGTCGAAATTGTTGACATTAGACTTGAGAAAAAACAGCTGTTTTCCGATTTCGATTGCTATCTTGGTGACCTTATTAATAGATCTTGGAAAGGTCGAAGTCGACTTTTGATCTTCGAGGAAATCGAAAAGTCGACTTTCGATTTTTTATAAATACTTGGTTTATCATCGCAATCCCTAATTTGTCCAAAAAATTCATATTCCAGAACTTTTTTTTATCGATAAGTCAGTAAAAGTCAAAATCGATTTTGAAGGTTCGACAAAATTGGAAAAAGTCTGAAGGACTAAGCAGAATGTTCGCGTTGAGCCATCCGTCGCGTTATGTGTTATCGAAAGTACAACATCCTCAAGGAAACGATAATACTTTTTCTAACGCTTATGAATTTTTGGGTAAAACTTTTAAAAAAAAACAGAATGTTATGCGTGTTGTATGCGTTTTTTGTTATCGCGTTAACGCACGCAAAAAGTTAAAATATATTTAACTCCGAAGCGCAGCGCATATCAACTTCGAGCGTTTGTGTTATCGTTTCCTTGTGGTTGTTGTATTTTCGATAACATATAACGCGACGGATGGCTCAACGCGAGCATTCTGCTTAGCCCTTAAGCCAAGATCTATTAATAAGGTCACCAAGCAATCGAAATCGAAATCGCTAAACAGCTGTTTTTTATCAAGTCTAATGTCAAAAATTTCGACTTTGTTTACGTTTTCATAATGTTTACGTTTTCATAATGGAAGTCAATTCACAATAATGCATTTTGACAGCAAACTTGAGAGGTATCGATAATCAGCTGGTCTCCCTTGGTGACCTTATTTATAGACCATGGGCTAAGCAAAATGCTCGCGTTGAGCCATCCGTCGCGTTATATGTTATCGAAAATATAACGCGACGGATGGCTCAACGCGAGCATTCTGCTTAGTGTTAGTGTTATCGTGGTTGTTGCATTCTCAATAACACATAACGTGACGGATGGCTCAAATTTTTTCTTTAAATGAGTCGCACGGCACATACGACTATCTCTACTTTTTGAAAAATATTATACTTAAGGGGACCCCCCATTCTCGGTGTCCCTTAAATGGCATTTATATTAGAACTTTTTACCGGGTTAATGCTTCTTTCTTGTGAACCACCCGAAGACGAACTGACACTATTTTGACTTAGGTGAGTGTTATTCGATTCGTTGTTGTACAATTATTTCGTGTCGTATACAATGTCGTACGATCATTAAGTACTTCGAAGTCAATTATTCTGTAATCACCGGCGTAGTCTAAGATCATCGCCTTTGGTTTACAAAGCATCACTAAATAACGGTAATCAAGTTTGCAAAGATTTAATGGTTTGTGTAAGAATAGTTAAATTTTTTGTGTGGCGTTTTGTGGCCAAATAATTCTTCTATCTACAGCAACAAGATAGAAGTAACGAATAAACCGAGAAAAAAAGAATAGTTAAATGTCTTGTTGTGTAAATTATCCCGCGTTATAATAGTTAAATCAGAAAGTGTTGTGTCATCCAATGTAGTTCAGATTTCCGAGTTTCGGTTTGCATTTTCGCGTAAAAGTTTTCTCAACTGTTATTTTGGCTTTCCTCGGAATTATTTTGGTTTTGTGAAGTGCTGGTTAAATGCGAGCGGTGTTTCTTGTCCAAATTATAGCGAAATGCACCCTAGGGTAAGCAAATATATATAATGGATTATTTAGACTAATCAAGAATGAGGATCTTTTATCATTTAAATTTATTAAAACAATTGCAGACCATCACTAATTACTAATTTTTTTTGTGGCATATTCTGCTGTCATACGGGTTTAAATAAATTCAAAGCGGTAACATTTAATGGGTAACAAGGCAGAAAGTGGTTAAGTTTGGTCGGTTTCCTTATCCCCAAAACATGGAAAGACAAATTGTGAGAATAATGCAGTTTTAAGATAACAGTTTAATTGATAACCAACATAGGTTGCAATAGCTAAAGCTGTTGTTACTCGATTCCTCCATGCCAATCGATTTGCAGAGTTTAATTGAATCACACAATACAAGAAACAAAGGAACTTCTACAGCTTCTCAATCAAAATTATATTATTGTTTATACAACCTGAAGTCTGGTATAGGGAACAAGTCTGTTCATTAACGCAAAAATCACGATTTTTGATTTACAGCGGTCTGGCTGAAAATTAGCGATACGTGGTGTCAGTTTTCGCATATACGATATTTTTATTGTATGTCAAATTTGATATTTTACATATGGTAAGTACGCCTAAGGCCGACATGTACCAATAGTCGGCATCTGTTCTATAAATAATTTGGAATAACTAAAACAGTCCTAGGGAAAGTGCTCCTAATGTCGGCATGTACCAGTCCTCTTCAATAATATTGTAAACTACTCTGTGTGAAATTTATCTAAGTAAATTTATTAGGTTAATTAAGGTATATTAATTTTACTTGTTTGGCTCCATAAAGAAGTATAGTATTAAATTAGTATATAATAAACTAGTAAAATGCCCGCTACTTCGTATGCGGAAAGGGAATAAAATACTTTATAATATCATGTTTATTATCATTTAGTACTCTTCATACACATAAGGACTATTATCCGAAATATCTTTCTTATTTCCATTAAAAATAGATCAGAATTCCAATTAGTCAAAATTGTACCAAAATTGGTACCATTCTGTACTTTTCATACCCATATTCTAAACTTATCTCAATATTCCAAACCTGCTTTCAAATAGTAATTGTAAGTCAAAATTTAAACATTTCCGCTTTGTCTGTTCCCCAAAAACCAAATTGTACCAGATTTGGTACCATTCTGTACTTTTCGTATCCATATTTCAAACCTATATTAATCCTACACTCCCACAGCAGCCTAAGTTGCAACTTTCAGGATTGGAGTTGTACCAAATATTGTGTTTTGCACCAATAAGTATGAATTTCCAAAAACTATCTTAGTCATGTACTCCAATAATAACTTTAAGTCCACGTTTAAAAATTCCAGCTCTATCCGTTCACCAGCATCCAAATTGTATTAAATTTAGTACAATGTATTACTTTTCGTAGAATTAAGTACGAGTTTCTAAAACATACTCAATTCCATTAAGTACTTAAGAGTTCGAATTCCAACACTGTCTCAATCCTGTACTCGAACAGTAATTTTATTTTAAAATAAATAATAAAAAAATAAAATATAAGTTTTCCATCTCTATCCTTCACTCAAATCTAAATTGTACTAAACATAATACCATTTAGTACATATAGTTACGCATGTTCAAAACTACCTCCATGTCTCATCCAACACTCCAACCTTAATTTTAATTTCAAATTTTAGGATTCCCGCTCACACAAAACGAATTGTACCATATTTAGTACCATTTAGTGCTTTTCGTATCCATACGTACGAAATTCCAATATTACCTTAATTCTGTAATTTACATTTCAAATGTAAGTTTTCAATCTCTATCAAAACTTCCGACATATTCATCCTCAACTCCAACAGCAATATTAATTAAACATTTCAAACTATTTGGTACCATTTAGTACCTTTTGCTTCTATAATTAAGAATTTCCTAACCTACGACAATCCTTCTGGAGTCCAGCTCTATCCCTTCTCAAATAATCAAGTTGGACCAAATATAGTAACTTTTAGTATACATAAGTACTATGCTTCCATATCTCAATTCTATATTGCAACAGCAACCATTATTCCAAATTTTAGGTTTCCACCTCTCTCCGTTCTTCCAAATTCTAATTGTACTAAATCTAGTGCAGTTTAGTACTAATTTGAAGACTCCAGCTCCGTCTGTTCAATCCTGTACTCCAATAATTCCGATTTTTAAATGCAAATAGTACCAAATTTAGTACAATTTTGTACTTTTTATACACATAAGTACGATTTTCTTACATCACTTCCATACATCAACACCACTTCCCAACGTGTATTCCATATAAAATTTCAAGATTCTAGCTATATATGTATGTTCAATATATATGGGAAATATTGCCAATTTTTTAATATTTATTTATTCCAAAAATGCAATTTGAAGCCATTAAGGCCGATTTCATTTAAATTGCAAACTATACTACTCCATTTAACAAGATTTCTTAATGATATCTTAGAAGGTATTATTCTAAAAATAATAATATATTTCAATATTTGGCAAGTGGCTAACTACTCAAGTAAGTGTATTAATATCACATATTCAATATTTAGTAATAAACAGCATTGTATAAAAAAAAATTTAAATTTGTATATTATAAAAAAAAATGACATACTTTAGTTTAGGTAGAAAAATTGAGAACTATTCCATGTTCAAAAAATCAGCTTTTTTGTTTTTGTGGCACATCAATGATTTTTGGTACACACATAGAGAAAAATGTTCTGAACGCCGTTTATTATATTGACCAAAAACGTTGATATATATCTTCCTCCGTAAAATAGGAATATGAATATATTATAACAATCGCGAAAAAGTTGCACATCTTCGCGAAGTATGAGAAAAATAAAAAATATAGCAGATTACATAAATATTTTCATTATATTAATGACATACACACACCTAAAAATTACTTTAAAAATATCTACATAATCTAAACACCATGATGAATCAAATGATATCAAAATCACACAAGATATTGAGGAAAAATATTTGTTTTTGGTTCGAAAAAATAATGTCATCATATTTATTTTTTTTATTTTATACAAGAAATTTCAGAAAAAAATGTTGGGGTTATTCTGCTATTTTACCCGAATTTCGCCGAAAAATTGACATATATAATAATCACTTTTTGTGTATAAGTATACGCCTCGCGGATTATATCAAGACCCTTCCGATAAGTCTTAGAATTCTATAAATAGGAATAAATCTTAGAATAAAATAATATTATGAAATATACATTTTAAAATGCGTCTAAATAGCGTAATTCTCAAAATCATTTGATGCGCATGCGGTTTCCAGGAAGTACTGAAGTTTATCTTCCAATCCATATATATTTTGCGAAATTTCATTTGACGGCTAAGATGTGCCGCACGTTACATTGAAGTACCCAAAAAATCGTAAAACGCGAATAATTTCCGAAAACTCCTTATGCCATTAACGCGCATCCGATTTCGGTGTGCACCTTAAAAAAATGCATCGATCTATACCATTTGAATGTGGTCCATTAAGAACCATGGATGTGCCAGCACAATCTATTTTTGAGATAAATTGCTTTCTCTCTTTCGGCTGAAGTTTTTAAAGTTCTCTTTTCGAAAAAGATCAAAATCCGTATGAGGCCATTTATTGAAGCGGAAATGATACACAGAAAACGCAAATAAATCCGCGATATTTTCAAAAAAATGTTTTGCCAAATTTCGTGTTTTTGGAAGGCCAGTTCCCGCCGTTCTAGTAGATGGATTTTCACGAAGAAGATTTTACATCATCCGAAACGTAAAAAACCTTATTGATCGCGGGTACCCATATCATTCAGTTGACAGATCTAAAAATTTGGCCCGAAAAATAGGTTTTTTTAGAAATTTGATCGCACAAAATTCGCACCTTCGGATGAGTATTACTCTGAAGCTGTGCATACTACATACACAAAATACATATCAAATTACGCAGATTTGCGACTACAATGATCTTATAATCGATTTTTAGAAATTCCTGTTTGCGTATTAAAGCTAGAAGTAAAATTAAAAAAACACTAAAAATCGAGCTTCAAAATGTCAGCATCATTTAAAGGTAGATGCAGTTAAAATTTTGAAAAATGATACATAAGGGGCGTAGTCCCCATTTTGTTGGCTTCTAGTTTTATTTTGACACGAAGACCGTGCAATGCGTGGCTTAGTCACAAATCGATAGAGAACTGGTTCGCCTCAACCTGTTTTTACACATTTTTTTACATTAAAGTAGACACAGCTTCCACCAAAATAAAGTTTGGAGGTCAATATCATGAACGGTTTGCAACGACAAATCAATTAACCCAAAACTATTCACTTTTTTTCATATACTTAAGTAGTTTCCGAGTTATAAAGGTGTGAACCTCCGCTTCAGCTATGTTAAAAAATTGGCAATATTGCCCATATACAATTAGTACCCTTAAAGGTCGAATTTCCAAAAACCCTTTTGTGCATCTTTCTAACTTTCCATCAGTGACCCACATGCCAAATTTCAGAATTCTGTCTCTTCCCGTTCGCCTAATACAAAGGGTACCATATTTGGTACATTTTAGTACTTTTCGTACCGTTCTAGTTCGAATTCCCAAAAACCCAGTCTTATCTCACGCCTACACACCAACAGCAACCCTCGCTCAAAATTTCAAGCTTCTAGTTTTAGCCATTTCGTCTGGGCGATGATCTGTCAGTCACTCACTCACTTAACACTAAGCTCTTTTATATATATATATATATATATATATATATATTAGTATTAGTTAAAAATTGTTACAGTTTTGTAAAAAAAGTCATATTCGCCGAATGTGTAGGTATGTTTGATATTCCAATAATTTGTAACAATTTTTACAAATTATTACTGATCGTTGTTTAATAACTTAAAAGTTCAGTAAATGAGAGTATGTTAAGAGAGACATTTTGGCATTTGTGTACTGAGTATTGAAAAAAATCTTACTGGTAAAATTTACTCAGGAAGAATTATCATGCTTGTATTTTGTTGTCAAATAGGTAGAGTAACTTTTTCATCAATGCAGAAATATGAATATTTTATTTTTAACGGAGATATAAAGCAATATGCAATGTATAAAGCATGAAATATATAAAATTTGTTATTTTATATCCGATTTCTTAACAACTTCAAATTATGAAACATAACATTTTTCAATATTTTCACATGAGAATAGATATAATAGATTTATACTCGAAAAATCGATTAGAAAAATCGACAAATGTTTATGGCAGTAAAGAGTAAACAAAATTTCGAAACTGATGAACCTAAATACAAATGCACTTGGAATGCTGAAACGTTTAAAATGCGACTATTCTTGCACTCAAAGATTTTGTAGGGTATAATCTTTGACGTTTGTGCTCACCACTTGTATATGCATTTCCGTTTAATTTGTTTCCTTCAAACAATTTAAGTTAATTTCAGAACGACTGATTTATTTATTTACATAATATTTTATAAAATATGGAAAAGGCGCCGAGTAACTAAGACCTTGTGCGCACGGAAATTAACAATATAGATAGTTAGAATAGATATACAAGAATATATTTACAAGACTTATGATAATAGGTTATGTTTGTTTAGATATTTAAATATATAATGGTTCTGAATTAGATGTCATTCACATTATGAGTATTAAGTGCTAGACGTATTCGATGCAAGAATACTTTTGTGGAACAATCAAGTATTTTTTCTATTCTTCAATTATTAAAAAATTGTTGGCATTCTATTAAAATATGAGAAACGGGTGATTATTTTGGTTGCATATGAGAATACATGTCGATTTATCCATCCATTTAACATTTTACCAAAAACGCGAAAAATTAATGGAATGCCAAGTTTTCTTTTCAAAATCGAGTTGGGGATGTGATTTACATATTGATTCATTCACAAAACATATTTTTCTTCTTAAAAATACGTCGAGTCTATATCTCTTAGCGAGCTAAACAAAATCGAATATGTCCAATTATTTCATATTCTTATTGAAAAATTCATATTTCATATTCACAAATGAAATATTCACAAAAATACGTTCTGCCATTGTTGAATTTTTTCAACTTTGAAAATTCCTACGTCGACGCATGGTATAATTATTACAAGGTAGGGCACAGCTACCAACTGATTACAATTTTTTTTCTCAAAGTGGCTTGTTCCATCAATTCAAAATACATATTTTGTGTATTGTTTTGAATGCTATGTCAAAATAAATTTGAATATATTCAAATTTAATTGAAATTAAAATTATGTTTTTAACACGTTCGCCTGGAAGTAATTACTTTGTTGTGGATGAAACAAACATTGGGATTCCATACTGGATTTTGGGGAAAAAATAATAACATTTCATTCATTTTTGGCGTTTTTAGTTTTGCGTTGAAAAAATGTCAAATAAACACAAACACTTGTTGCGAATATATATTTTATTTTTGGCAGAAGAAACCACACGTGCATAGTTGCATTTTTGTTATTCACCAAGGTGTCCTACCTTTATTTTTTTCTTTTTTTCAACAAATAAAAAACAAAAATACGTTCTGCCATTGTTGAATTTTTTCAACTTTGAAAATTCGTACGTCGACGCATGGCATAATTATTATAAGGTAGGGCACAGCTACCAACTGATTACAATTTTTTCTCAAAGTGGCTTGTTCCATCAATTCAAAATACATATTTTGTATATTGTTTTGAATACTATGTCAAAATAAATTTGAATATATTCAAATTTAATTGAAATGAAAATTATGTTTTTAACACGTTCGCCTGGAAGTAATTACATTGTTATGGATGAAACAAACATTTTATGTGATTCCATACTGGATTTTGGGGAAAAAATTATAACCTTTCATTCATTTTTCGCGTTTTTAGTTTTGTGTTAAAAAAATGTCAAATAAACACAAACACTTGTTGCGAATATTTATTTTATTTTTGACAGAAGAAACCACACGTGCATAGTTGCATTTTTGTTATTCACCAAGGTGCCCTACCTTGAATTATTGTACCATGCGTCGATATTCTTTACGTTTTCACGCGATTTAGTCAAAATTGAAAGCATTTTGACAGATCGGGTGAAGTCATCTGGCATTATCGAAGGGTCACAACTTTTTATGCTTATAATAACTTTTCTGAATAGCAGAAATTATCGCCATTATGCATTCTTAATTTATTTTCAGGATTTCGTAAATCCACTTTATATAAAGGGTGTATGTAAATGCGTTAATACATATACATATGTAGGTGAACCAAAGGAAATAGTTAAACGAATGAGCTGGAAATAGTTCCGATCGTTCTTTTCACGGTTTGTTTTTTGAACGACATAACTTTAGTTGCGGAGCGATACAATTAAATAAAAAATGTCACAAATAATTTTTCTACGTAACACCCAAAATGTTAGACGCATTATCAGTTTCAATAAAATAATTAGATGTTCGTACCAACAAAAAGTACGGGAATCCAGCAATGATAACAACAGCCTGCAGGTAGGCAGCCAAGATAATAGGTCTTCGCAAGTGTCGACTGATGTTCGACCACTGGGAGAAAAAATTAAAGAAACCACAAAGACGGCAAGCTATACTGCCGTTATTTTGGCCGGGATTGGTGTGACGGCCGTTATGTTTTGGGCTATATTCCGAGAATTGTTCTCAAGTTCTAGCCCAAATAATATATATTCTGATGCTTTGCAAAGAGTAAAGGAGGTAATCGTGAACAAATATATGTACGTATGATTCTTGGTTCTACTCGAGTTTCCCCCTCTCTAGGATTACCGAGTGCAAGATGCTATCGGGGCACCTATAAAAGGTTACGGAGAAGAATCAAGGCGCGGAAGGCGGCAGCATGTTATGCACACAGCATTTGAAAGGAATGGAGTACCGCATATTCGGATGAAATTCTATGTACAGGGTCTACGAAATAAAGGAACTGTTCACTTGGAAAGTAGAGAGGTTAGTCTGGGTAAAGCTCAATTTTAAAGAGTTTTTAGTTACGTCAAATGTGCTTTCAGAATAACAAAGGCAAGATGGAATACCGGTATTTGTTCGTGCAATTGGATCATTATCCGAATACAACAATTGTATTGGAGGATAACCGGGCATTCGATATCGCGCGTTCCCCAGCTACTGTTACTGAGCCAAAGTCTAGCGAAAACATACTGAGAGGATCCAGCCTTTCATTTGCCTCATTCGAAGATAAGAAGTAACCCTTAGCTACTAATATAATAAAGTGTCATTTGTATAGCTATCTAAAAATATAGGCCATGGTTTATTTTTTAACGTGCAGTAAAAATTTGTTCCATGTATTTCGTTATTAAGTTCACATTTTATAGTCATATTAGGCTCGTATATTGAATTCGACGTTTTTCAGCAAGAAAGTTACACATTTGTTGATTACCATGGGTAACATTCGTTGAAAATCATTTATTAATTGCTGGGATGGATAAAATCGTGGTATTAGGTATATTTCTAACAATGATTTCATATTTATTTATTCCAAAAAGTGAAATTTGAAGCCATTAAGACCGATTTCAATTTAATTGCAAACTATAGTACTCCATGTAACAATGATTTCTTAATGATATATTAATAAGTTTTATTCTAATAATAATAGTATTTTTGAATGTTTGACAAGTTACTAAGTACTCAAGTGTATTAATATCACATGTCCAGTATATAGTAATTAACAAAATAGTATAAAATATGAGAATTAAAATTTTTGTGTGTAAAAAAGTTTACATACTTTCATTAAGGCAGAACAATTGAGAACTACTCAAAAATATTGGTAAATAAAATTAGAATTTGTTTAGATATTTTAGACATAAAATCAATTTAAGCATACCCGATTTTCGTTTTCGAAGGTATTGGGGAAAGGGTTGATTAAAAATGATCTTTATAGAGTAGAAATAATTAAGTAGAACCGAAGCGGTCTATAATTTTTAATTTACATGTGCCATTTGATAATGAAAATTGCTGCAATGAATGCGGGAGGTTATTGAAAGTTCTGGCAATTCGAACCTAAAATGATTTATTCATCTGACCGATAGCTCTTGGAACAATTAATTGGTTGGTTCTGCTTGACCGACAAAATGGACACATTTGTAGTAAAAAATCAGGAGTTTGGTCTTTAGTAACATTATAAAACAGCATTAATAATCTACAGTCTATAAATCTCCAAAAAGTACAACCAAGGAATTGTTTAACATTAGCGCTAACATGGTCATATCTTTTAAGCGAATAATGATAACGAGCTACTCTGTGTGAATCGACAGTTTAATCCTTTTCATGTTTGTTTTAGTTGTGCCAGAGAATATTTCAATGCAGTCAATGATTTCTGATTTTTAAATACTTGCAGTATGGGAATAGACCCTGGTTTTCATTCTCTTTTTTTGTACCCCCCCACCATAAGGTGTAGTGTATATTAAATATGCCTTTCCGTTTGTAACACCTCGAAATATTCACCGTAGGTCCCACAAAGTATATACATAGGGTAAGTGCACCAATAGTCGGCACTTTCGTTTTAAACGTTTCACCATTCCGAGGGCATATTGTTCACTATATTGTATTTAGGTTCATATGTTTCCAAATTGTGTTTACTCATCGATGCAATAAAATGTTTTATTAAAGTAGATTAATTGATATTTGGTAAAATAATGTTTTTGTGCCAATTGTCAGCATGTCATGTTCCAATCGGCATCAGGGATGGTCCGTGTGACGAATTTTTAGATTTTCGACTGTCAAAAAGGTGTAAACGTCATATACCTGTATAAAATGTAATAAATGTAGTAAACATCATTTATTTCAATATTATCAGCATATACAGTTATTTTCAGGAATATATATTATTTTTACATATATCTGGCTATTCCTTACTAGAACTGATAAACATTTATAATTTTTTTTGAGAACAATATTTTAAAATTTTATATGGATTTGAGTAAAGCATGAGTAATTTCCGAATTAATTAATGGAAATAGCTATTTTGTAAAAAACCTACTGGATTTGGGTAGGTTTCCGACGTATGTATTATACGTCGGAAATGTATGTCATTTACGTCACTGTTTCTGACGTAAATGACATACATTTTAATTAATTTGTATGCTATTTTCATTAATAAATTATTATTATCGGACGTTTCCATCAGTGTTGTTTTAAAAAAATTATATAAAATAATTTAATTTATTAAAATATTACAATTATAAAACTTCGGGAACCTTTTATCCAATTCTCGACATGGCTAAAAAATTAATTTCATAGGTTAAAAGAATTTAAGATTAAAACCATGTCTTCTATTATGTAAAACCACTAAAAACTGATTTTTTATAAATTAATCGTTATTTAGAGCACTTATTTAAAATTTTTCCAATTTTGAGCCAAAATTATCGAAAGGTGCTTATTATTCACCCATATGCCGACTATAGGAAAACCTTAAAATTTTTTGTTCCTAAGGGCGCCATCGATATAAATATCATAATTACCAATATTTTTTTCAGGATTTTAAATTCCAAAGTGTTTTCCTTTATTTTCTTTACAATTACGAAAAAGATCCTTGTGAAAAGTATTTTTAATATAGTTACAAGCATGGTATAATTATTACAAGGTAGGGCACAGTTACCAACTGATTACAATTTTTTTCTCATGGTGCTTGTTCCATCAAATCAAAATACATATTTTGTGTATATGTGTGTGTTGTTTTGAACACTATGTCAAATAAATTCAAAATAAATTGAAATATATTCAAGTTTAATTGAAATGAAAATGACTTTTTGATCAAGTTCGTCTGGAAGTAATTGCTTTATTATGGATGAAACAAACATTTTATGGTATTTCCTACTGGATTTTGGGAAGAAATCATAACCTTTCATTCATTTTTCGCGTTTTTAGTTTTGTGTTGAAAAAATGTCAAATAAACACAAACATTTGTTGTGTACATTTATTTTATTTTTGACAGAAGAGGCCACACGTGCATAGTTGCTTTTTTGTTATTCACCTCAAGATGCCCTACCTTGTGTTATTGTACCATGGTTACAAGTATTTTAAAATCGACATGCCCACTATTTTTTTTCTTAAGAAACATGAATTATCGCTAGTGTTGAGAAACCTCATTGACCAATTGCCAAATTTTGACTGAATAAATGTACTTAGCTCGATTAAATTTTATACAGAGATAGATCGCAGTGTTATTGAAGATTATTCAAGGTATTTTTCATACATAGTTATAGGTTTTTTTAGTTATTTGAAATTGTATAAAACAGATGCCGCCTATTGGTACATACCGGTATAAGTTGCGTTTATTAGAATAAAATACAGTGTCGTTTTACGTATGCCCCTCTGAATGAATTATGAATATTCATAAACGTTGTCGTTTAACAAAATGAAGAATATTTGGATGCATTGGCCAGTGGTAAAACTGAAATTGTTGTCGAAGATATCAAAAGTATCAACTTAAAAATTTCTAAACTATCTGATGAACATCGTAAATATGATCTAATTTTTTCCAGATAAATAGAGTTATAAGAAATGGTGCGATGGTTTTAATGCCGTTCGCATGAAATATGCATTTTTATAAATTGTTAGTGGACATTATTTTTTTTTAATGATTGGAATGAAACAGTTTTCATTGATATGGTAAAAATAAACATGTTTATCTGGATGCTGACATCGTTTTATCGCCAAAAGTCCATGCAACACATGCGATTCCAAAGTTTTTCTTCTGAATAGAAAATTTGAAGTGGTTGAACTGATTTCGACACAGACTGCGCAATAGAATCCTCTTTTAAATTGTGAAGATATTGTTGGTGTCCGGTCTTCTGACGTATTAAAGTCAGAATTTCGTCTCGTAACTCTGTTATTATTATTATAAAAGGGGTAATATCGTATATTTCCCCCAAATTTGTTCCTTATTGTCCTTTGAGATACTAAAAATAAACCGTTCTACCAGCAAATTCTTTTGTTACGGACATCATTTTCGTTTTTATTAATAAAATAGGACATTTTAAATTTAATAACAATAATTCAAATTTTATTTCAAAATTGCGTTTGACAATTTGCTTCACAAACAAATATGAAAAAAGTTTAAAACCATATGATTGTCACTTACACCTTATTAAATACACCTTGCGATTTCGATTGTATGTCCTGATTCAGAGTAGGCGAGTTAACTTGCCGCAATTTTTATCGTTCTCTTTTGAAATTGCTTCATGCGTCTATACAAGGCAATTCGTTTTCAAAACTATTGTTTTTTTTTGTATTTTGTGCATGTTTTTTTATGTTCGAAAATGTTTTGGATTGGTATTTTAAATTACTGACACTACAAACAAAATACACAAAACGAATTGCCAGAAATTGTACGAACAATTTTTTCCATTTCTATTCCCCTTGGCCCTCTCTCCAGCAAACAAAAACTGGCCGCATGTAAACTCGCCTAATCTAAATTGGGACTATGTTATTTTGATTTTGATCAATAAAAACCTATAGTATACAACATGGTACCATGTAATAATTCCCAATTTATATTAGGCGAGTTTACTTGCGGCAAGTCTTTGACTGTAGGAGAGAGGGGCAAGGGGAATAGAAATGGAAAAAAATTGCTCGTACCGACAATTTTCTGGCAATTCGTTTTGTGTATTTCGTATTTGTTGACATTTTATATTTATTTAAATGTGAAAAAACTATTGACATCAAATAAAAAAGGAATATTTTCGAAACCGAATTGCCTTGTATAGACGCATGGGGCAAGTTCAAAAGGGAACGATAATAATTGCCGCAAGTAAACTCGCCTAATATAAATCAGGACTAACAAAAATAAAGAAACGATTTTTTTATACTAATATGATTATTTCATATGTAATTCATTTATTTATTTAGAAAATTAAATGTATATTTTTTATTACAACGTGTGCTTACATCGATCACTAATTTAAGAAGAAAGAGTCAGATGCAACTTGACAGCTAATGATACTTTTGCATAGTTGCAATTTTTAGTACCGGCATATTTACACTATACTACAGTTCCTCCCCCATCACGTAGTCACCATATCTCTGAGGAGCTTTCCTTGTGCGTACTGGACGATTTCGGTTTGGTGTTTGCTCGGGACCTTGGAATGTTGTTGGTGTAGTGTCTATTATAGTTGTTGTATTTTCAAGTGGCAAACTGTCTGGAACTGCATGTTGTTCGGTCTCATCTGGTGTATTTCCTTGTTGTCCA